AGTCTCTCCCCCTGGAGCGAAGCTCATCACCTTAGGATAACAGTTGGCTTGTCTTCAACTTCTAGGCAATGCAAAAATGCTTGGACATCAGGTATGTGTGTTTTTGGAAGAGGGGAGGAGTGATTTACTAAATACATTTTTCTCCTACTGCACATCAAGAGCTAAAACAGGACTCAGCCACCATGTTTTTTCCTCTAGTGTAATGTGATGTGGAGAAAGTAAAATGTTTTAATAAGGGAGATTGATGAAGGTAAGAAAGAGGCAAAAGACCTGAAAAAGCCACAGAAAAGTAGAGAGGCATGGTCAGATGGAACAGATCCTGAGGGTCACTAGTCCAGTTCCACCCTTGACACCTTCTAGTCACTCAGTCATGAGTTTCACCATGAGGCCACTGTGTTAGGGTAAGGGCGCTCCTCAAAAGAGGCCAGGGGAGACCACTAGGCTGGTGGGTTGTATGGTTGTATAGGAGCCATGGAGGACTCTGAGAGGGTAGCAGCCCACATGACCTGAGATGAAAGCCTCATCAAATTGAGAAGTTGAATCACAGGATCTGGCAGTTGCAGATTTCAACAAACTGCAACCAGATGAGCAAACAACCTGGCCTGGAAAGCAAAAGGCAGAGAGGGCCCCCTCCCAAGGATTCTAACTTTCCCTCTCATCCTTTACTAGCATGTGTAAAGCCTCCTCCCACATTTACTCTGAAGCTATTTTAGAGATGTCAAAAGAGGAAGACGAGGTCAGCAGAGAGACTGTCCAAACTTATTTAAATGAATTTTTAAAAATTAAAATGGCTATGCAAAATTTAATTTTTTTAATTAAAATTAAAATGGCTATGTAAATTATCATCTCACAGGGATGTTTGACTATTTGATTTTTCCTACCAGCTAACCAGTTGCAAAGGCCTTGAAATAATATTCAGATTAGTTACAAACAGCAATGAGAAAATGTGTTTTCTCTGCACATCTAAGTTATGAGTTTAATTTGTCACCTTGTTGTAGCTTTTAAAAATAATAAAGAAGACAAAAATCCAGCTATCTTTAGTTATACTGAGAAGATGTATGGCATTTGAAGTCCCAACTCCTGACTCCTTCTGAAATCTCTGCTACCGCCTGCTTGGAAAATACTCCTTTCTACTCATTTTGCCATGAAAATAAAACTGCTCTAAAAAAATCAAGTCTGTTAAAAACAAACAAATATCCTTAATGCCTTGTTAAATTATCTTAGGGATGGAAATGGCCATTATTGAACAAAACATAAAATATATCCTTCTCTTAAGCTGAAATCTGATTTTTCTATTTCTTTTACCCATTGTTCTCTGGGACACCTTTAGGAGATAAATTTTTCTCTCTCATTATTTTTCCTTGGGATGTAAATCATCAATTACTTAGCTCCCACAATGAAGTCTGAGGTCATAAATAAGTGCTGACAGTAATTTAATCTGTGAGAGATTAAGATGTCATCCAGATAGTTTGGTGGACAGAATGCAACTGAGTGCATTGCCTCCTATTCCTACTGGCTCAACTCTTTTCTTCTTTCTCTTTCTTTCTCTGAATTAACAGACTTTTTCTTTAGAAAAAATAGTTCAAGCCCCATTAAAAAGTGGGCAAAAGACGTGAATGGACACTTCTCAAAAGAAGATATATGGGCAGCCAACAGACACATGAAGAAGTGCTCTGCCTCACTCATCATCAGAGAAATGCAAATCAAAACCACACTGAGATGCCACCTAACCCCTGTAAGAATGGCCATCATTCATAAAACAAACAACAACAGATGCTGGCGAGGATACAGAGAAAAAGGAATGCTTCTACACTGCTGGTAGGAATGCAAACTAGTGCAATCTCTTTGGAAGACAGTGTGGCAATTTCTGAAAGAACTAGAAATTGACCTTCCATATGACCCAGCAATCCCTCTTTTGGGAGTATACCCGGAGGAACTCAAATCATTCTACAAAAAAGATACCTTCACACATATGTTTGTTGCAACTCTATTCACAATAGCAAAAAGCATGGAACCAACCATGCTGCCCATCGAAGCTGGACTGAATTAAAAAAATGTGGTACATATACACAACGTACACAATGGAATGTTTTGCAGCCATAATGAAGGACAAACATATGGACTTCGCAGCAACTTGGATGGATTTAGAGTCAATCATACTCAGTGATCTATCACAGAAACAAAGAACAGAGTACCATATGTTCTCACTCATAAGCGGACCTCAAACAATTGACATAATACTATAAGAAAGAGATTGACAGTAATAGGAAACTGCCAGGGGAGGGGGGTGGGATTGGCATTTGAGGGAAACTGCTAGGGAAGGGAGGGACATACCTTATCAACAAGGGTACCTGCATAATCAATGTTTGTATACCTAACCCTGAATTGTACCCCACATCTTAAAAAAATAATAAGTAAAATAAGAAAAAAAGTGTTCAAAGTGTAACCACAATATTGGTAAAATTTACAAGGTTGTAAATTATGATAACTTTTTCCTTAAAAACCTAAGTGAAACATAAGGCAGCCAAGTCAGAGTGTGTGTGTGTGTGTGTGTGTGTGTGTGTGTGTTCAAGTAATCAATTGAAATGGTAAAATTCAAATGGCAAAGTCAGACAACTTGCAACAGCATAATACACCTGTTTATTTAGTTAATATTACAATGGTAAAATGGTAACAGGTTAAGAGCACTGGATTTGCATCCTCTTAAGAGGATAATGGTCAAAATTTTGATTTGTAAATTTCACTGTTCTTAACCATTAAAAATCTATTTTCCAAAGGAGTAATAGTACATATTATTATTAAGGGATGGATCTAAACTTTCTGATTTATGACCAAAAGCATATTTGTTCATTAGTTTAAACAAAACATTAGGGACACCGTAACTCTTGGTTACTGCTTTCAGGAAAGCACAAAGTTCTTGAAGAAAATATACACAAAACCTCTTTCAATAATGATTTCAACCATTGTGTATCGTGTCAGTGAGAAAACCTGAGAACCCCAGATTTAGTATCTCCGGATCATTGCGATACACTCTGGCTTACTTAAACAATCAACCAACAAACATGTATTTAGTGCCCACTATGTACAAACCAGCATACTAAAGCAATATAGGAAATGCAAAGAAGTAAAATTACTGGTCCTTGCCCTGCTCAGGCTTCCAAAGTAGTTGGTAAGATCAAACATGAACATAAATTTTTCTACTTTCAATGTCCTCAAAAGAAGTGATGTTAACTGGATTATATGTAAGAATCACCTCTGCTGGAACCTAGAAGAAGCAGGAGCGTCCTCAGCAATAATTCAAGTCTCTGTCTGAATTAGATTTTTCAGCTCCAGCTTGAACTTCTAAAACTGAAAGCGTTCCAGCCAGACTCACACCTGTCACTGTTAATGGCTGCACTTGGACTTGTTTAATGGAATCGTGACAATGGCGCGAGATAAACAAAATTATATATGTGCACATCGTATATACACACTCAAATCATATATAGGGTGCTGTTTCCCTCGTCCCTGTTTCCTGGAAAGCCAGGAGTCCAGGACTTTCCACTGTGCATGGAGAGAGGAGGATAACTCACATTATCATTTCTTTATTATTTTACTAAGACAAACGAAAGTCTGCAATAAAAAAAAAAGTATGTAAAAAAACCTCCAAACTTCACTAGACACAAGCAAAATTAGAAAGGTTAGAGGAAAGGATAAGAAAAGAGGATCCAGAACAGAGGAGAAATTTTGAGGGGTTCTTGGAGCAGAGAGAGCGAGAGCGCTTTCTCCCACTCCCACTTTCCTTCCCACCCCCAGGGCCCCAAAGGATAGACCTGGGGCTAGGCAAGTAGAGTAAAAGAAAACAGATACACATTTTCCAACACCACAAATAAATAAATAAATTATATAATACAGTAAAATAATTTATTAGGCACCGCTTGAAAGGCAACGACCCTCAGAGGCTAAGCGGGCCGCACTCCGGAGCCTGCAGGTCGCGGGCGAAACGGCCAACATTGGCTAAGACTCTGAAGGTGTCGCCCTAGGCCCTGGTCCCCAGTGCCAGGGCTTTAAGATACACCGGAGGAGGAAAGTGAGTCTCTTGTTACTCTTAGGTTGGTTCCTCCAGAAACTTGAGTGAGGGAGAAAGCCAAGCGGAGCTGCAGCCCTGCGGCCGGCGGTCCCTGGGGAAAGCGCGCCCTGCCCTGCCCCAACCTGCCCGCGAGGTAGACGCCTGGCCCAGGAGCGCCCAGCGCGGGGTCTTTGAAGCCTAGAGCGCCAGTTCTGACCTTAGCGGGAGGGTGGCTTTTATGACACCCACTCCCCAACCCTGTAATCTAAAATCTCTTCATTTAGCTTGTTCTCGGCTCCTTTTTATTTCTTTTTTCTTTTTGTGCTCCAAAAGGGGGCTTGGGCGGGGACAGCAGAAAGCCTGGGGTTCGAAGCGCGGGACCTTTTTTACTAAGCACCTGGCTTCGCTCTGGGTGGAGGAGAGGAGGGGTGACGGAGGAAGGATGCACCTTCACCCAAACGTAGGAGAAAACACCGACCGCCTACGTCTTTCCCAAGTACGACTTCCTTTAAAATAGGGCTGCGCTGTGGGAGAGAGTCCCCAGACTCCGCCGGGGGCAGGCGCCAGGCAGAACCCGGACAGCGGCTGGGCGGGGCTGAAGGCGAGCTGGGGACTAACCCCGAGGGAAACCCGTGGCGGTCGCCGTGGCTCAGTTTAAACACACACAAAGGGCGGCTGAAGGGGCTGAGGACCAGACTGAGTCGGCGAAGACAACGAGTTCGTGGTCTGCACCGACGGGACGACGCGGAAGGAAGGATCGAAGCTGCAGGGCGGGGAGCCTAGCGGGGTCCGCGGAGCAAAGGCAGTGGGGGAAGGAGCCGAAAGTGGGAGACCCAGAAGCAGGTGGCCCGAAAGCCTTCCCAGCTTACGAGCAATGCTCCCAGTTCTGCCGCGGTGGCGCGCCTTTCCCGGGCCCCTCCACCGGAGGCCCCCGTTCCCTGGCGCCCTGGATACCGTCCCCTTTCCCACAGGCCTGCGCGCCTCCTCTCCTGGTTCTCCCCTCTCTTCTGGCGCTGCGTGGCCCGGGCTCAGAGCGTCGTGATCCGGGACGTGCAGGTGCCGTTCCGGAAGACGCCGCCGGACTCCAGGTTCTCGGGCTGGAAGTCCTCCACGCTGTAGGCGCGGCTCTTGAGAGCCGTGGCGTAGTAGTCGACCGGCTCCTCCGCGGCGTTGTCCATCCAGCTGAGGCACAGGATGCGCTGGAAAGAGCGCTTGAAGTTGTCCGAGAGAAAGCCGTAGAGGATGGGGTTGGCGCAGCTGTTGGCGTAGCCGAGAATGACCGACAGCTGGCTCACCGTGGCGTCGTCTTGCTCGGCGAACACGTTAACCAGCTGCACCACGTAGAAGGGCATCCAGCAGATGACAAACACCATCACCACCATCATCACCATCAGGGTGATCTTGCGCTCCGAGCGCTTGCGCTGCTGCCAGCCGGCCTTGAGGGCCACCATGCGCATCTTGGCGATGATGAGCACGTAGCACAGGCAGATGGCCCCGACGGGCAGCAGGAAGCCCATGAGGAACGTGTACAGCACGAAGCCCACCAGCCAGCGCTGCGCGGGCTCAGGCATGAGCATGTTGCAGGCCACCGTGCCGTCGCTGTTGGCCGCGGTGCGCGAGAAGACCACGATGGGCAGGATGACCAGCAGCGACAGCACCCACACGCCCAGGTTCACCACCTTGGCCACGGTGGGCCGGCGGTAGCGGGCCGCCTTGATGGGGTGCACCACGGCCACGTAGCGGTCCACGCTGAGCACGGTCAGGCAGTAGATGCTGGTGAACATGTTGACCGCGTCCACGCTGAGCACGAGGCGGCAGAGCAGCGCGCCGAAGGGCCAGTGGCGCAACAACGTGGAGGTGACCAGGAAGGGCACGCTGAGCATGAGCAACTCGTCGGCGATGGCCAGGTTTAGGATGTAGATGTTGGTGGCCGTCTTCATCTTGGCGTAGCGCAGGATCACGTAGATGACCATAGAGTTCCCACACAGCCCCACCAGGCACACCACGGAGTAGATGAAGGAGATGAGGATGGCGCTGCCCTGACCCTCGCTCAAGGTCCCGTTCTGGGACGCGTTTCGCCCGGGCTCCTCCATGCCGTCCGCTGCGCCGGCCCCGGGGTCCCCGCCGCCGCCGCCTTCGCCGCAGCTGCCCGGGCTGGGGCTAGGAGAGGAGGAAGGAGAGGAGGCGGTGCCATTGGGGAACATCCCAGCCGAGGGGGGCTGGAGGGGCTGCCGGGGCCGGGGCTCTCTCCGCGTGCCCCGCCGCCTGCGCCCTCCCTCCGCCCCCGACCGCCCGCAGGCAGCTCACAGCCGCCCGGCGCCCCGGGGTGGAGCGCTGCCGCTGCGGCGAGCGCGGCTCCTACCGGCGCCGGCGGGTCGCATCACCCGGCGGCTGCCTGAGCGCGGCCGCTGGCAGCTCCGGGGCGCCGGGACGCAAGCGAGCGTGGAGAGGGAAGGCCGGGATGTCGGAGCCCCGCGTGGCACTGCCATTAACTAGCGGGGCTCTGGGCTGGTGTATGATTAATAGGCACCACCAGCGCGTCAGCAGTTACGAAAAAAAAGCCGGGGGGGAGGGGGCTGGAGAGAGGGAGGAGGGCACATAGGTGGCTTGTTCCCCCCCCCATTTTTTTTTTTCCTTCCCGGTCCTGCACTCGGCTCAACTTCAACGGCTGTTTCCGGGGTTCCCTCGCGGCACCCTCTGCCCCTCTGTCAAAGGAACCTGCGGAGTTTCTCCGCCTTTCTGGAGGGTGGGTGGGAACCAAGGGTGGAGATTCTGTCCCATCCCACCTCGCTCCTACCCAAAACAAAGCATGGATGTCTGGAGTTCATCTCAGTTTACCTCAGTGGTTGCCCTCTCCCGGGGGAGACCCCAGCTCCCCTCGCGTCCCGCAGTCCGGGACTCTAAACCCCCCTCCCGCCCCCGCTTGCCCTGCCCCTCCGACCCGCCGCGGAAGCCCGGCCCTCCTTACCCAGAGCGCGCTGCCTCCAGTCCGCCGCGGAGATGGCCCGTGCGAAGTGCATGTGCGGTCGGTTAGCCGGCTGGCGTTCTCTGCGCGGTCCAACTCCCTTCTTAGGGCCCAGCCCCAGCGCAGGTGCCCACGCAATTACTCTTAGAGCCGCAAAAACTGGCCCCAAGCCGCGAGCGCTATGAGGAGAAAGGACACCCGTGCACTGGGGAGTTCTGCGCTGTAACAAACACCGCAGACAGCTCTTGGCGGGAGGGAGTGTGCAGGGGCCTGAGCAACCCGTTTCTAATCTCTTAATAAAGCGTGTAAAGCCCAGAGCCCCCGCGTCTCCCACGAGAATATCGACCACAGAAACCGGGACGCGCAGCTGGGAGCTCGGGAGGAGGCCGAGCCTTCCTCCGGAACGTACCGGGCGCGGTATTGGAAATTCATCTAGGTGTTCACTGGGAAGATAAGGCTGCGCCGCTAGGAACGGCTCCGCCCGGGTTCCCGCTGTACTTTGTACCCTGGGGAGTTGGCGGCCCCGAGAGAGGAGAATGAAGGGCCTGCGCGGGCGGGGGTGCCGGGTCCTCTAAATACACGCGGGACGGGGGGTGGGGGGATGATGACCAGACCTGCCACCGACCCCAGGGACTGCTGGGCGGTCTTTGGGCTTTTCCGTGAAGCGCTAGGATGTCAGCCTTTTCCGAAGATCCTTGACGTGTGACCCAACTCTACTTCACGTGCCTAAACCATTAAGACGCAGACACCGAGGTAGGCCCGCCTGAAGCTTGCAGACTTCATTTAGGAATACGGTTTCCCTGTAAGAAAGAATGGATGTTCAGTTGCCGGGATTTTAAACGACCTCTGGGACTTCCTACCATTCCTACTCTAGGTCCTTTAGGGGTTTCCAAAGGGAAAGCTTTCCTTCCTGTGAAAGGAAGGATCACCTGCCATCCAGCTCCCCTATTTTCTTTTCGTAAATGCTGCTCTTCTCGGCAAGATCCCGGTCTGTCTTTATCTGAAACTTGTCAGTTCCAGGGAAGGCTGACCCACAGCAGCCTAGAGCTCAGCCTCTTTCAGGCTTTGCTGTCTCCTCTTTCTGCTTAGTTCCTCCTTCTGCTTGGTCAGGCAGCACCCACTGTGCTAGGAATCTCAGTTTTTCCCCTCTGAGAACAGTTTGCACCAAGGAAAGGCAAACTTAAACAGAAACTAAACTCGTGTAGGCTATTTGTATCAGACAGTCCAAAATGAAGAAATGGATGTAGAAATTTTAAACATGTATAATCAAGCAAATATAATTCCTAATGCCTTGTTGCTTTATCCAGGTATGAGTTCTCAAAACTAAGTGCTCCTGAAAGGGAAAGAACAACTTCTGCAGTGAGGTGATGATATCAATCTGAGATTAAAATGATGATAGATTTTCATAGGAATGTATGCAATGGGCACTGAATTATTAACGAGGAACATGCTGGGATGGAATTTGAAATTTCATAAGGCTCGAGCTATTTAACTCATTGCTATAGCTAAACAGATTGCCTTCTCTAAAGTAGAATGTGGAATTAGTGTTTAGTTATATTTCTTTTCTCTTAAAAAACACAGCACATATGGAGAGAAAATAAATGAATGTTCATTAAAAAAAAAAAAAGAGTAAGTTTCGTCCCAGAAGAGCATTATAATTGTTTAGGTGCCCCTGCCAATCACTGCCTCAAGACACCTGGCTATACCTCTGGGAGCTGGCATTTTAAGAGTCATTGTTTAGACTCTTGGCTTTGATCGTGGTTGCTCCAGGGGGAGTGGGTGATGGGAGTTGGTAAAAGACAGCTCTGTTGTTCAGAATTTCATTAAGTCCACTTTGCAGCTCATCTTAGGAAAAACTCCTCTCAGTTTGGCTGTGGACTCCTACACAAAAGAAGAAAACTCAAGACCTGACTTGAGCATGCTTTTCTTGCTTCTAAAGTGGTTTCTATGACGGATTATTCACCCATAAAAAGAGACTGACAATAAGATACCACTTTATGCCTATAGGAGGGCTAAAATAATTTTCTAAGAAACAAAACATGAATGTTGGTAGGATATGGAAAAATTAGACACTCGTACATGTCTGGTAGAAATTAAAAATGATGCAGCAACTTTATAAAGAGTTCTGTGATTCCTCAGAAAGTTTAAAATATAATTACCATATGACCAAGCAGTTCTACTTCTATCTATCCCTCAAAATTGAAAACAGATGTTCAAACAGAAACTTGTGCATGAACGTTCATAGTAGAACTAGTCGTAATAGCCAAAAATTATAAGCCACCCAAACATTCATCAATTGCTGAATGAATAAACAAAATATGGTATATCTATACAATGGAATATTATTTGTCCATAAAAAGGAATGAAGTACTGATTCATACTACAACATTGATGACCCTTGAGAACGTCACTGCAATGGGAAAAAAGCCAGACACAAGAGGTCACAAATTGCATGCTTCTATTTGTATGACAAGACCAAGTTAGGCAAATACATAGAGACAAAATGCAGATTAGTGGTTGCCAGGAGCTAAGGGAAGAGGAGAATAGGGAAGGACTGCTTAATGGGATGAGGTTTCTTTTTTGGGTGATGAAAATGTTCTGGAATTAATCAGTGGTGATGGTTTTATAGCATTGTGAATATGCTAAAAATACCTGAATTGTACACTTCAGAAATAATTAAAATTATGAATTACATATAGGAGTTTTACTTCAGTAAAAAGCAAGACAGGAGAGAGAGAGAAAGGCGGGGGGAGGGAGAGAGAGAGAGAGATTAAGATGGGTATAAGCCATGCAGCATTACCAAATCTCTTCAGTCAGTATTTCTAATTATTTTACCTGTGAACTAACATATGAGCAAACAAAAACAAACAAGAAGAGGGTGGCATTTCTAGGCCACCAGAGAGGCAGATTGGGGTTGCAGTTGTTTGCAAATTAAATGAAAGGCAGGAGTCCAGTTAGGAGTCTACTTTCCCCTCAGTCTTCAATTTAATGTAAATATTTTCTAAAGAAACAGAAAAACTGATATGGGTATGAGGTTGCTATAATGCACAAAGACTATAGCCTATGAGAAGTACACTAGGACTAGACAATCTTCCTGTCATTAAAAACTTTATTTTTTTCAATTCAGGTGTCTAAAGCCTTGAAAAGATTAGGAAGAGCTTGTTTTCTCCATGCAAGTTACCTGTCCTCCAGTCCTGCTTTCTTTGGTTACCAACATTCCTGTGCCTCTGTGATATGAACATTTCTAGATAGGCAAGAAGAAGAAGATATTTTCTTGGAAGGGAAGAATGAAAAGTTATAATTTAGGAAGTTGCAGATTCTTCAGTAGACTGATCTTCTTCCCTCATTGTAACTTTCTCTTACAAGCTATGCTCCCCTGTGTTATTGTGTACCAGATGCATTTTGACTATTATATTCATCACACTGTGCTGTGATTTTTTTGTGTATACTTGTCTGTCTCCCCCCTTACAAAGTTGTAAGCTTGTTGAGAATATAGCTACATTTTATTTACCTTTCTATCCAGAATCCTAGAAAATCACCCAAACTTCCTTGTCTTATTTCTTAAGGCATCCCATGGATAGTACCTTCCACTTTTCTAGCCCATGCGAAGAAGCACACTGTGAGTCCCTTATAAGATGAGCTTTAATATCTGGGTAATATCATCTGTAATAAATCCTTATATATTTAAATCATTCTGAATAATTTCAACTTGCACGCCCTATACCAATCATTATCAAGCTGATGACTCATTCGTTGATCTTTCTTGGACTTAAATTTCTTGGCAGAGAAAGGGCTCTGGAAAATGGATAGCACATGCCTTAGTAGCTAATGACAGTTATTTAATAGTATCATGCAGTGTGAAGCCATAATACATGGAAGGTTGTTTCTTTTCTTTTTAATTGCAGTTCTGAGTCTTAGTTGCTTTGGTGGAGTTGTAATTATCAGAAACACAAACTCTACTCCTGTCAAAATCATCACTAATGTGGTTTTTCCAACTGGAGCCTACAGTGACCCTCAAAAGAGTTCCCTTAATTCATGCCAGTGATAAAGGACTGTCTGGAGCCAGGGATTAAAAGTTGCACTTCCTGGGACATACTCTGCACTGACAATGTCAGAATCACGTTTACAAACACCTGTCTGGACAGATGGGACCAAGCACAGCTTAAGGAGTGAGCACCACTCAGCAATATGGCATAGCAGAGGTTTTGTCACTTAAGGACCATCTGCCACTAAGCAGTTAACATGATGGCAGTCTAATAAGAAAGTTATCAGAGCACAAAAGTGGCTATAGAGCTCAGGAAAAATCCTGGACTTCATTTCTCGGGGATACCCAGTCACAGCAGCCTTGATGGCCTGTGGTTCAGTTCATCACTAACCTCTGCAAACTCACCCTGGCCCGCTGATTTTCCTATTGTCTCTTCTGTGCAACAGCATGATAGATTCTTTTTTGTGCTTTTAGGAAAGACTCATATGGTGTAACAATGCATATTCTTCCCTATGGTTTCTCTACTACTAAGTAATATTTCTAGAAACAAGAATTCAGCACATACAGGAAAATATTCATTATTATTAATGG